CCCTACCAAGGGCATTCTGCTGGAGATTCGTGCATTGTGCACGGAGGAGTTTACTCTCAACGAAATGACCGCAGTGCTCAACACCGCAAGAATTGATCTGCCCCGGGAGTGAATGGCCTCACCTACCAGGTGCTTCACCTGACCCCTCCATGCAACCCCGGTAGCTGGAGGCCTACAACAAAGTGTGGTGCACAAGTCAGGTGCCTCTCGGCTAGAAAGAGGCGCTCCTGGTTCCCACACTGAAGCCACGGAAGCCGGCCATGGAGCTATCATCCCACCGGCCAATATCACTTAGGTCAGCCGCAGGAAAAGTTTTGGAGGCTATGACATTGAAATGCCTTCGCTGGATTGCCACCTCAACCAACGCATTCACTCCCGAAGAGAGCGGATTTGGCCTAAGGCGCTGTACCATCTACTCACTGGCTAACGTGATTGCCACCCTCGAGGAAGCCAAGTACCGCGGCGATTACGGCATCCTTGTGCTGCTCGACGTGAGAACGGCGCTTGGCTGTTTGCCCCACGCATCGATTTTGGATGCACTTCGTGACCTCGGTGTGTGCAGGCGGATGTTTGACTACGTAGAGAGCTTCTTGGGCGACCGCACTTTTCGCGTTCATGTTCGCTCTACAATCAGCAGTCCCCACCCCGTCACCGCGGACGTACACCAGGGCAGCATATTGAGCCCTTTTCTGTTCAACCTGGCTCTTGCCAAGCTGCCCGACTACATCCCGCGCAACACAGCGTGTAAAGTACACGGGGTGATTTACGTCGATGTCATTGCGCTGTTTGCCTGCGGCCCCGGTCACCACCGGGAAGCTCTTTTCGAGTCCCTCCAGGTGGCCATCAACGAGGTTGACGCATTCCTCAACGGGATTGAACTGGTGCTCACTGCCTCTAATATAGAGGCACTGCTCGTCCACCCGCAAGCATGGACACGCCACTCCACGCCTCCGCTCTCCTTCCAGAGCCATCCCATCAAGTGGAGCACAAAGGTGCGCTACTTGGGGGTGACCATTGACCACCGGCTCAGCAAGCGACAGGCCATCAATGATCGGTGGACGAGCAGCCGCAAGGTACTCGGTGCCGCACGCAGTCTCCTCGCGTGAGGTCACGGCTGCACCCCTGCCCCTGCAATGCGAGTATACAACGCAGTCGCATCGGCACGCGTGATCTACTGGCAGCAGTGGCTTTGTTAAGTGCTTGCCAGCTAGCTGCCTTGGACGTAGACCATCGGAACACCGTGCGGGAGTACTACGGACTTCCCCACACCTTCCAGGTGGACCCCACGCTCGCCAAAGTGGGGAATCTTCCATTTCTCTGCGGGTGACCCAGCCGACACTAAATCATGTACTGCGGCTGAAAACCACAAGGCAGGGGCAGCTCCTTCTGAACAGGCTATACGCTCTACCTCATTCATCTATTGGCAGCGGGCGAGTGAGCTCTTGACGGTTGTGCCAGACAAGCAGTACCCTAGCTGGCCGGCTATCCCACCCTACCACCACATCCCCCTGGTGGTCACCAAGACCATTCGCGGCATAAAAGCGAATACGCGCACCCCACTGGCAGCGCTGCAGCAGGAGTGCTCAGTCCTCCTTCACGAACAGCTGAACGGCCGGCTGCTTGCTTATGTTGACGGGTCAGTGCTTCGCGAAGGCTCCGCGGCCGGCGCCTGCGTTGGGTAATCAGTAGGCGCTGTTTTTAAGTGCATCATCCCCTCTCTCACCTCCTCCACTGTGGCGGAGCTCCCCGCTATAAATTTGGCAGCCGATTTTTTGAGTGAGCGGGCGCCCATGAGCGATGCAGCCATTATTTGCGACTCCCGGGCGGCCTTGGCCGCGATCTCGCGTGAGGAAGAGGGCAGCCTCCTTGCGCAGAGAGTAGCCCGGAAGCTACACGCCGTGCAGCTAATGGGGTGCGACCTTTGCTGCCCTGGGTGCCTTCACATATCGAAATACCCGCATTTATGCGGCCGACTGTGCCGCGAGGAATGCGCACGATCCCGACACCCGCGTCACCAACTTCGTGTGCTCCGCGTATGCCGGCCGTTTCCTCACTGTCCACCACCTGAGCGATCGTCATCCTGATCCTTGCGTAGCAGCTGAAAGCCGCCACGGCGGCTCCCACGGGATTACCAAGACGATACCGCGGTTTTCTTCCTCGTCTCTGCACCCCAGACAACTACACCACAGAGCGAAAACATCGGCGCTTCGGGCGTGGCACTCCTTACTGAATGACTGTGGCAACCTAGAGACTCTGGACCACCTTTTGCTTCATTGCCCGGCTGGTGACGCGGGCAGACAAGTTATGCTCGCAACGTATGGAGCTCTCGGCTAGCCTCGTACAACAACTCAGCACCACTTGTTCTCGAAAAGTGGCCGCGCACATATCAAGCACGCTCTTTTAGCGCTGCTGGGCTTTGTTGATGCAAGCGGACTTCGTGAGCGAATTTACAGAATTCGCGCCCCGTGATTTTGGTAGATGGTCTGTGCGTCCCCTTTTTGCTTTTCGGTCTCTCCTCTCGCTCTCTCCTTACTCTTTCTTTCGTCGCTCAAGTTCACTATTCCCCTATTCCCCTTCCTCTGTAAACCACTGCTGAGGTGACAAGCTTAGCTGCAGACAGTTGCGGGGTTTACTTTTCTTTCCTTGCCATTATTTAAAACCACTTCCCCCCACCCCATTCCTAACCTATCAGGCTAATACAGTGTACACAAGGTAATTCAATTGTTGCACGGTATGTCCAATTTTGAAACTGTGGAATGCCTAGTACGCCAAGCCTTGTAAGCCAGCACAAAATCGCAAAAACGGGATATAAATAATCTATCTGGTGCTTGAATTAGGTGATTTCGTTCTCTTTTTCAAATACAGTGCTCCCATTTTCTGATTTACATAAAAAGTGAGGTTCATTAGGAATAACAGTGCACAAATTTTACCATATCTCTGTTAAAAGAGTTGTCCATTGTGCAAAAATGCGGACACATGTCGCAGGCTTTCCTAAAAATGCACCCGAAATTTCTGAAAATTGAAAAATTAGAATAAATACTGGTTGGCTTCAATATTACTTTTTGGATAAATTAAAGTAGCTAAGCCAACGAATTATATCAGCAACTCAGAAAATAAATAAACATATTTTAATTAGTTTAGACAACGGGCCACTCCTAAAGGGAGAACTAACATTTTTCCTCTAAACAGCCCGTTGCAGCTTTTAGATATTGAAAAAACTGGTGTTTGGCGTTTTTTTAACAGAATAATACAATTCTGCCTATTTTGCCATTGACCCCGAAACGAAAGCAACCGTGAACGGGACTAGGAGACGACTAGAATTACACCGCTGCTAATGACAGCAATTGAAATGGAGTTAGTGGTCTCATATTTGTCGATCACGCCATGAATGATACAGTACCACCAAGCGCTGACCATACACGCAAAAGGGAATTTAATAGATGGTTTGTATGAGCGTGGTCACTCATTCTGGGCGTCTCATAGAAGTTTGCTAACTGTTGAGCACTCCAGTGTTTGTTTTTCTGACATAACTGCCAAATTTTGTCGGTGTTACGAAGATGTAAAACTACTCTCAGCTGCTTTTTGGAAATCTCAAAGCGGTAATTTACTCTACGCGGTAAGGGCTCAAGATGTCCGATTCGTACCAATGCCAATTAACTTCACGCTGCTCATTTGGATTTCTAGTTATACCGGGCTCTGGTGCACAGCTAGGCTAAGATGTACGTAAATACTTAAGAAGTAATTGTGAAGGAAGCAAGCAAACGTTCCATTAAACTTTTCATTTAGGGTTTATGGATACATTTTTTGAAATACATTAAAAGAAAGTTTCTACGCGATGCCAAGAGTTCGTGATAGTACCTTTAAAGTGAACATTTATGTGAGCAGGACGCCATCTGCATGATCCTCATGCATCCTAACTAAAGTACCACAAAGTGCTGTTTTACGTTTTATAAAGTAAGATGGGGCTGTGTGAGACGAAATTCAGCAAAGAAAGAATTGTGTAACGTTTTTTTTTGCTACTTTTAAATACCGTGCTAAGGAAACTGCTTGCAGAGTTGTGGCGTCCACTTTACAATAGAAAAGACAATAGAAAAGACAATAGAATAGCCGTGTCATGTGCTTGTGAGACATAGATTGAAAGTAGCATCCATCCTCAACAGCGGAGCAGCTTCTGCTCAGAGGAGCGTCGTTAATTATGGTCACTAACGCAATTTATCATCAGAATGAACTGCACGAGCTCTCTTTGACCTGTTTTTGACCTGAAGATGCGTACAGAATGAGAAGCAATAACACGGGTGATGAGAAAACAAGCCTAGAGAGAGAGAGAGAGACAAAGAAAAATTCACTGAGACAAGATAGAATTAAACAGACAAAAAGGATAAATACAGGGTAAGCTAGAAAGAAAAGGGCAGGTGAAATCAAAAAGATATAAAAACGTATAGGGTTAAATACTTTTGAAAAGAAAGCAAACTAATGTAATGAATTGTGTATCGTAGCAAAGCCACGAGAAATGCAACAGGTGGTGTGGATAAGCGAAGGCAGAGGGAGAATGCCAGCAGCTGCACAGCCCTCATGCCACTACTGTGATTCTGTAACAGCACTCTCGTACTTAGAGAAAGATAATGATAACTGAGAGACGATATTGCCAAGGTAGGTGAAGGGTACGTTATTATTGTAATTGTAATGTAAATGTGCCGAAAAAAGTGGAGGAAACTGCTACCGGTAGAGACTGATCCTGCGACCTTGAAATGTAAGCCACTACTTTTGTGCTAACATGCGTTTTTTAAATCATGTACTAGTCATGTGTGGTCGCTTCAAGTGGCGTCATCCTTTCATCCACTTTTTTCATCCACATTGACACTACAACTACGTCTGATAAAGTCCGCTGTACTTTACTTGGCTAGATCTTCTGTTCTCTAAAATATATTGTCCAACTAAGAAAGCAGGCTGTTAAATTTTCACTTCCCTTAAGGAAACATACGAAGATAGGCTGAACTCACAGTCCCTCATGGAGAGCATATTAAGGTAACTGTCCAGACCCCAAACATTGTATAAGGTGCCTTGAGTGGTGTGTTTATACCTGCGAAAAAATAAAATAAAAACATCAAGACATTCATCAATCACACACTCTGTAAACACATGGCATTTGGTGGCCTTACGTTCTGTTATATAACGTAAACTTAGTCTCCACTACAACAGATTTTCCGCTTATGTTTTTCATGGTAAATCGTTCGCAAGTAAATTCAGCATTCCAAGATGAACGATAGGTCCATATAAACTGTGGCGGTTTGAAGAACTGAAAACAAAGAAAAAAAATATTCTTAAAAACCAAGTACGTGAGTGAACTACTTAGGAAGGTGACCTTATGTTTGGCTTGAATTCGAGTGGTAAGCACCGGAACTCTGCCTAGTAATTAAAATACGATGGCTCATTGCGCTTGTGGTCTCATTTTCAATGCAGCGAATGAGAAAAATTTTAAACTTCATATTGACAACAAGTACAAGTCTGTTAAACATATTAAGGGGTCTTTACACCAGAGTTACCAATCATAGCGTAATTACCTATTCATAGCGTATTTCCAAATTTTTCATCAGCGTGGCATTAAAGGGTGGCAATATACTTATTCTGTTACCTTATTTCTTGTTGTAAGTACGTTGTTGGGGAGAAGATGAGGTTCATATTAACTCGGCTACTTCATATGAATAGGTTCTACAGCAAGCAAATAATAATAATGAACGTTATGCAAAATTAGCAACCAGAGAAAAAAAACAAATAGAACACTGAAACAAGTTGAAATGAAACGGCATTGTACAGTTTGCTTGCAGTAGTTCACACGACAATAAAACATTCACCCGCACACCTTTTATTTCTACCTAACGTTTGTGTAATAAAACGTCACTCCTTATATGCATATATAAAAGTATATCTGGATATAAAAAAGCTTATACAGTCCGGGTTCTACTAAAAATTCTTTTAAGATGATGTTCGATTTTTTTAAATGCATGTCAGGCCATGGCCGAAGGGAGTTTTTTTAACGTGCGTGTGCGTCTGCCCAAGCTTGCTAGTTTTTTTTAAGTATTTTCTTTTATTTTCGTACTTAATATACTCGAAATAGTATGAACAAAAGTTTGATCTCTGCGATCACACTAGTATTACGGTAAACTGAATTGCTGTATTTTGTGCTGGAAGTTCTTTATATATGCTACATCTAGTCGAAGTGAGATGACTAACGTCTGTAAGCCTTGTGGGTGATCCATGACTATTGAAAATTTGCTGTGTGGATCGCCTCCATAAAGTAATTTTTGCCTCAATTTAGAACTACGAAATCGCTTCACCATAGAACCTAAAAACTACGCAAGGATCAGAAGTAGCTTGTTGCGTTATGAAACTTCAAATATCTGCCCGAGACATATGGATTGTGCAATCGCTTCCTTCGTTCAAAACTTTCTGGTGAGTCTGTCTGCTTATTCATTAGCTTTCATTTCAATGGGGCTCGGTATTAATTGGAATACGATGTGTTGACCCCGTGCTACAGTTTCTACAGTTGGTGGAATACATTGTGCTGTTTTAGCATTCTCGTCAGGTGATTGCTATTCGTGCATAATACCCAGTGTTGTGTCCCAACATTCCCGCAGACAAATTTGACCACTTCAAAAATTGGCACCGAATTTGATATAGTTGATGAAGGTTTGTGCGATAATTATACAGTCTTTTTTTCCAAGTTCCGGTACTCTATAGACATGGAATACATAATTTTCCCATTTGACTCCACATTCACCCTAGACAAATAAAAGTTTATTTACTTATTTTATATATTTATAAATACTGCGACCCTTCAGTTGAAAGATCATGGCAGGGTGGAAAAATTGTTCGAGAACCGCTACATACAAAAAAATATTGAAAACACAATAAATCGTACGATGTGAGTAACAATGCGAAGGTCGAAAAACGCTTATTACAACAAATTTTTCAACTAACATAGCACATAATAACGTAACACGTAGAATACGGGTTACAGACTAACACTATATACAGTAAAACAATTAATGTAATGCAGTGTGTAGCGATTGTTTAAGCGATGCTGTGCTCAAACAATGACAGTTTCTTGTGTATAACGACATGATTTGCCAGGCTGTTCCAGTCAATAATAGTTCTAGGGAAGAACGAATACTTGCTGCAGTTATTCCGTGAAGGTAAAGGAGCTATCGTTTTACAATGTCACTCGCGAGTTGCGTAACCGGAAGAATACCAAAGAATGCCTGCAGTGCCGACATTTAAATGACTATTTATTAATTGATAAAAAAACTTAAGCCAGCAAGTGTGGCTTCTGTTCAGTACGGGTTGCAGATCGCTTTTTGCCAATAGTACAGATACATATGTTCTACCGTAGGAGTTATAAATGAAACGTAAGCCTCTGTTCTGCACTTTTTCTAATTGAATATAAATACGTTTAGTGAATGAATCCCATATTATTTCAGCATATTCCAACATTGGACGAATGAGTGTTTTATATGCCAACAGGTGTACAAACGGGGGAAAATATTTTAAGGATCGTTTTAGAAAAAAAGTCTACGTAGATTTACCTGTAGTTATGTCGGCGTGTTTGTTCCAGTGTAGATCATTAGTTATCTATAATACAAGATACTTGTATTCTGCAACTTCTGTAAGATTCACGCTATTCATGCCACACTGATAACATAAAAGATTTTTTTACTGTTATTTTCGTATAAAGAGTTTTGTTTTAATTAATTGACATTTGCCCTTCCTGGCACCAAGATACGACCTTGTTAAATTGATTATTGAGCCTTATCTCATCCCCGAGCAGTTGATACTTTCGTGCATAACACACAATCATCAGCATAAAGCTTTACACACACAGAAAGACCATTCATTATATCATTTATATACGATAGAAATAAAACAGATCCGAGGACCAAGCCCTGAGGTACGCCGGAATCTACAGGAAGTTTGCTGGAACAGGTGTCTTTAAGTGAAACAAATTGTTGCCTGTTTTCAAGATACGCTGGTATCTATACTCTAAGTTTCAAATTTTTCAAGATTTATTGCAATATATGAAGTAATTTTTTATGCGATACCTAATGAAATACCTTTTGAAAGTCCACAAAAATGACATCTGGTTGCTCACCTTCATTTAGTGCGGTAGCAGAATCATGGATGGTTTCAACCAGCCGCAGAGTGGTAGAATACCCACGTCTAAATCCATGCTGCGCTTTTGTTAGTGCTTTGTGTTCATCAAGAAATGTAACAATGTGTTTGTGAATAATGTGCTCAAGAGTTTCAAAAGCTGATTGATTGACTGAATGATTGATTGATTGATTGATATGTGAGGTTTCACGTCCTAAATTCACTATAGGAATGCGAGAGACGCCGTAGTGGAGGGCTCCGGGAATTTCGACCACCTGGGGTTCTTTAACGTGCACCCAAATATGAGCACACAGGCCTACAACGTTTCCGCCTCCATCGCAAATGCAGCCGCCGCAGCCGGGTTTCGAACATGAATAATTTATCTTCGCTTTTTACGTCAAAATGAAGGTGATGCTTAAGCTTTGCGATAACATCTAGGGAAGCATTTGGTGGCCTGTAAACGACACGAAGAAGTTATTTAATATTGCCAGTATACGCTTTACAGAAGATGCTTTCAACGTCTTGAACGTCTGGCATTTTTACAACACGTGTAATATTCCTAAATACAATAGCAACGCCTCTACTCCTCTCATCTTGATCTTTACGAAACACTCTGTAATTTTTCGGCGCAAACTCACCATCAAATATATCATCTCGTAGCCATGTCTCAGTAATACAATATCTGGGTCATGTGCTAAAAGCATGCCTTCCAACTTATCAGCCTTATTACCAAAACTGCGGCAATATACATTTAACACCACTAAACATCGTTCATCTAGTTTTCACAAACCTTAATTTGGTTAGATTACTTATATCTTTTATTCTTATTATCATCCCAACAAAAAAACTTTCCATCAATGCTTAATTTGTCAAAAACTAACTGACTTTAGATCCACTTCAACGCTCGCGGGATTAACTTTGCCACAACTTTTTTCTTATATTATGAACACGAGCGGAAAATTCTTCACTTATCGACAGCTCGGTGCCCTTCAGCTTGGAACACCTCTGTAGAATAGCTACCTTGTCTCGGTAACCGAGTATTTTTATAATTACTGGGCATTCTTTGCCATTCTTTTTCCCAATCTGTGACATCTTTGTATGCCACTGACATTCACACCCAGCTTTCCTTCAAATAGGTATTTTTTATTAGTTCAGTAAGGTTAGCAGTCGTTTTATTAGTTTCTTCTCCTAAGCCAAAAACAATCAAGTTATTTCTTCTACTTGTGTTCTCTAACTCGTCAATTTTTTTGTCCGCGAATTCAAAGTCTTTCTCAAGCTGTGTTGCTCTTTGATTTGAGTCTTTTACATCTGTCTTCAGTTCAATCAAAGGTTTTGTCTGTATTTCAACGGAACTCATCGTTTCAGTCAAGCTAGCAACTTCTTGTTCGATTTTTTCTTGTTTTGATAGGACACTGTTCATCATGTCAGTCATGTGTCTTTGTCCTGAAATAAGCTGTTGCAGCATTTATTTATTCGAAGGACCTGGGTTTGCTTCAATATCCCCGCAAACTAACAAATCCACACCAAAAGCAGAAATGCATGAAAAAACAATATCCCCGTGAATTCATGTAATCGGCAAAGTCGTCGGAAGACGAGTCTTGCGTGTGGAGAGAGCGAACAAAACATTTATTTGATGTTCTGCGCAAGAAAATCGGTGAATGGTAATTCCGAGGCGCTGCGTTAGGGCTGTTTCACATGCTTCGATTGCAGCGAAAAAAAATTGTTCCGTTCGCTCCAATCTCTCTGTTCGCAACCGTCCCTCATAGCGGTTTCGTTTCAGATGAACCAGGAATGGTCCGCGATTTTCGCTCTGCGACTGGAGTGGTGAGTTTTCTCCACCGCTCAGTGTGACAGACACGAATGTAATGTAATATTATGTGCATTATGATATCATGAAGTTACCGTGAACGGTAACGAAGGGCCCGCTTTTTTCGTCATTTAGGAACACTACCAGTCCGAATTCATTTTAAAATACCCTGCATCGGTCATTTCCGAAACAAACACGTCGACTCTATTTCAACGGCTTGACCCGACCAACCGTATTTTGACGGGTCCCGACCGAAAATCGCTCCCGCTGCTGCGATCAGAGCGAAAATTTCCAACATGTTGGAAGCTCGCCAGGGACCGCTGCGGCAGGAGCAAACTGCCCTT